CAGCTCAGGCCGCGAGCTCCAGGCTGGCCCGCCGGGCGGGCTCCCCGAGTTTGCCACGGGGAAAGCTGTGTGAGGTGGAACCCCGGCCCTCCTGGCGGCCCGCGGGTGGGGGTGCGCTGGGACTGGCGCAGCCCCGCCCAGAGGCTGACCCCAGGCGGCGCGGACCCCCAGCCTGCCCATCCGCCTGCCCCGCTCCCCGCCCTGTCTCTGGTGAGGGCTCTCGCCCCGCTCCTCTGGCCTGCACCCCAGCTCTGTGTGCATAAACAAATCTTCAAAATAAATAAAAAACCCCACGGGGATTACAATTGAGATGGAAAAAAAAATGTACAAAATGATGTAAAAATAAACTTCTGTAATAAAAAAAAGTAAAAATAAAAAAAAATAAAGAGAAAGCAGGAAGCATCAAGATTTATCAGAAGTTTTGAGAAAGGCCGAAAGCACCAGTCCGCAGGTGGCCAGAGCAGTCCAGGGCCCCGCAAGCTGCGTCCCCCCGCGGCGCCGGCCGGGGGGAGGCTGGGGGACGCGCCCCGGAACCCCAGGGTGGCCGAGGGCGGCGCCCACCGTGAGACCGACCGTTTGACAGTGAGAAGCAGAACAGCCCATCGCTTGGGCCCGCCGGGGGCGACTTTCTGGAGTCCCAGCTCGGGGCCCGGCCCTGCACCTGCCAGGCTGAGCTGGGGGTGCAGGCTGCCCTCCCGCTGGCGGCCGGCGGCCTATGGGCCTCTGCAGCAGGCCGCCTGGCGCGGGGTGAGGCCGCTGCCCGGCAGGGAGCCCGGGGTGGTGTCCTGTAGCGAAGGGGGCGGGCGGCCGGCTCCTGTCCCAGGAACCCCGCGGTGCCACCCTGGTGCCAGCGCGGCTCACCAGCTGCCCCTGCGAGGCCTGGAAGCGCCGGCCCTGTCACCGGGCCTTCTGCCACGACCTCGCGTGGAGCAGGCCCCTGCCCTCACGTGGTCACTCGTAGCAGGCCTCCCCGCGGGGCCGCTCTTCCTCTCCAGGGACACTGGCCGCAGGGCCCAGGGCCCCCAGGCCCAGAGAGCCCCATCCGCCCCCTGACCCACACCTGCCAAGGGCTTCGCCACACACAAGCCCCCGTCGCCAGGGCTGGACGCTTCTCTGGGGCAGGAGGCTGCTCGTGCCGCGGTGCCTGGCCTGGGAGGGCAGTCTGTGACACGGCCGTGCCCGGGGGCCCACACAGCCCCTGGGGGCTCTGTGGGCGCCTGCTGTGTGCAGGGGCCTGAGCCCCATGCCTGAGGGTGGCAGCTGTGGGGGGGCTCAAAGACGACGCTGGTCAGGGCCTGGGGGAGGCTCCGGGAGTCCCAGGGAGCACCCGTGGGCAGGGCCGTGCCGTGGCCGCTGGCACAACAGGGCCCGCTGGCCGGTGGGCATGGAGGGAGGCGAGATAGGCTGCTGCCAGGGCCTCCGGCGGGCACACCCGGCCTTGGGGCTCCCCGGACCCCTCGGGGCCCCTCGGGCTGGGGTCCGCGGGAGCCGGGGTGGCTTCGCAGTCGCAACTTGTCTTTCTGCGGCCCAGGGGTGGCCTCAGCCACACCCGGGAGGGCCTGGAGACAAGGCGCTCCCAGAGCCCAGTGCTCCCGGGGTCGCGTGGCCCCGCTGATGCCCCTGGCGCAGGCACTGTGGTGCGGTGGGCGTGGCAGGTGCACCGCGGGCTGCCCTGGTGGTGGGCGGGCCTGTGGCCAGAGGCCCCTGCAGACCACGGCCCGCCAGGCCACCTGGACGGCCCCGCGGACAGAAGCCCCAGGGGCAGGCAGGCTGTCCCACGGGCAAGGCCCCGCACAGGCCCGGTCCAGCACTGCAGCCTCTGCACAGGAAGCCCTGGCCACTGGCAGGCGGGTGAGCAGGCGGGTCCTGGGGGCAGGGGAGGGAAGGAGGGTGGTGGGGGCCAGGGTGGGTGAAGGTGCCCCGCGTGGGGGCAGCCTGGGCTGTGCTGCTTTGCCCTCTGGCCAGTGAGGGCAGCAGGAGCCAGCAGCAGGGGGCATGGAGGCCAGGCGGGGCTCAGGGGTGCTGAGGGGAGGGCAGACAGGCCAGCTGGCGGCCATTCTGGCCAGTGGCAGTGGCTGGTGAGCCCAGAAGCGCAGCCCGGAGGCGGGCAGCACTCTCGGAGGCCGCCGCCGGCCTGTCTCGTGTCCTTCCCTGGCGCCTTCCGACTGGACTGCTGGACTGCGGTGGGACAATGGAACACCTGACCCACAGGGCCGGCCCAGGCCAGGGCCCAGGAGCCCCGGGGGGCTGCTGGGCCCCTCCACGCGGTACCCAGCCAGGACAGCAGCCCTGGGCCTGGACTGCGGCCAGACATGGGGTTTCCGACGGCGCCGCCGGACCCTCGCAGGTCCGCGCCGAGGACCAGGATCCAGCTGGCGCCTAGACCCACAAGGCCGGCGCCTGGCTCCGGCA